ATCGATACACCATGTGTGACTCTCACTAACTATATTATTACATGATGTCAAAATTACATTTGCAGGCGTCGTTTTTTTTGCATCTAATTTATTCTTGTAATAAATAGGAAATTTGATTGTGTACATCGGTATAGAACATAATTTAAATACATATTTTTATACCGTACTTGTGTCTTATCTTATGTATTACTTGAAAATGAGGCGAGCTTGAAAGGGAATCAAAGATTCATCAACACAAACAATTTCGTGTAGATAATAGCGATTCTAAAAATGTTCATTTGGCATATCAATTATAACTGTAATTATTAAAAGGAATGGAACGACTGATACGTATTTCAAAGTGGATATTGGAAATATACTTATTATTGCGTTGTGACACGCGTCCTCGCTTACCTGCTTTTGAAGTAATACAGCCCGGTAAAAAAAAAAAACGAAAAACGAAATAACATCGTAACCGTTGCGCTGCAAAACACACTTGAGGCATGTTCGAGCATGATTCGCCACAGAAAACAATTCGTGCTTTTTTCGAAAAGCAGAAAAAATTTCTCTACTTACAGAAAAGAATTGTAAGACACGGATGAAAATGAGAGACACATTACTCTGACAATGAGTTCGTTTTGCAAAATATATTCTTTAAAAAGTCGATTCCGAGGGTGAAGTCACGTCTTCGAATTGTCATACACTCCAATATTTGCCCTTACTCATCCCTGATTCCTTCAAATCTTTATCTTTCACTAGTCACCAACTTTCATCGTTACTCATTTTTGATCCGTCATCTTCCAACTCCCTTCGTTTGTCTCTGCACTGTCATAGCCCAAAGTTCACCTTCCGAAATATTTAACTGGCTTTAATTGTTCGTTCTGTAGTCAGTCTAGTTCAGAATTGTCACGTACACACCTCTGTCAAAATTCTATAATAAAGTCTATTTTTCTACGTAACGTTGATCCTTCATTTAATATATTTAAGTGATACTCCATTTCCTGAAACTCAATATCGAGATATTGAGACAAACCGGGCATCACAGAATGTTCTCTAAAGAATACCCTCTTCCCGTCCCGCGAGATCTCCTAGTTCCCCGTGAAATTTGGACCTCGAGGTTGTTTTATGGCCTGGACGTCACAACATCGAGCCTCGTTGCTGCCATGTGTCCCACGTCCCTGATTTACTGGGGTGCGTCATTGGGAACTTTGTATAAACGAGCAAGAAATATTGACATAACATGTAACGATTAGAATCTGTTTCTGAATTTGTTTACTCTTCAAAAAAGGAGATTAAGAAAGAAATTTAGAAAAATATTCGATATCTTCATAAAATGATTCTGGATGTAAATGCTTATGTTAAAATAGAAGGAAAAATAGAAAAGGATTAAAATTTTAGCTATATAGTTCAAATCTTCATGATCAAAGTTCCTTCATGAAAGATACATGAGTTTGTACATGACTTGAATTTTCCAGTGCCCTTAAATTAGTGTAAATATAACGGCCAAAGTGGGGCATGTGCGTTTTGTCAAAGCGTTGTCCCGGTCACGAGGGAAAGTCTTGCAAGTCCAAGAGTATAATGAGTAGTCGTTAAGGGCTAAATCGTTGTGATGTATGAAAACATCACAATATAAACCTAAAATTTTGTATGCATTGTCAAAGTTATTTTATATTATGACGCCCGCAGAATATATTCTTAATTTCGTACAAGAAGACTACTTTTGCCAGATAATTTACCCTTTGAAATCATATAACTTTCATTTACTTTCATATAAAACATGTTTAGTATCATTGATATTTCTGAATACATTTAATGAGACAACCTGTATAGTGTAAGAAAATTCGAAGACGTAGAAAGTTCAACGTAGATCATTGATATTTTGTTAATGGTCCTCGAAGAGAACCATTACATACACAATGGAGGATAAAAGTATTCGTACATTTGAAATATAGAAACAAAAAAGAACAATATTTTCTATGTTAATAAGTATATTTAATCATACATAGCTGTGTATTAAATATTACACTTACAGCGACAAATGATCCAAAACCGAAGACAATAACATCAGACAGTAACTTGAAATGATTTGAAATGCACGAGGCCGTAAGAAATCGCCGGGACAAGAGTATTCGTACATTATCAGTTATGTTGATAAATACAATTGCGATAGTATCGGGACATTCTGATCAATCACTACATTAGATGATGTTCTATTAGTGTAGTCAGTAGTAATCGTGGCAAGTACACTTTAGCACTAATATTTGCAATGTGAAAAAAAAACGTAATGAAACAACATTAGAAAGAAAAAAGTTGTTATACGGTTATATGTGTGGAGTGTATAAGAGCGAGAGCGAAATAGTCAATGGAATATTCTAGGGAATGGAATATTTGGGATATTCCAGAATATTCCATCGACGGTTTAACAAAAGAAAATCGCCGCTCGGCAACAGCGAACGATTGGAAAAGGCATAAAGTATACTCATCTTCATGTCACAGTATAGCGACTGTGATGTTGTTTTATGTGTTCTAATTTCTTTCCTACATATGAAATATATCAGAAATGCTAAAAAGAAGTCGATCAACTGTATAAAGTATTATAAACAAGTATAAAAAAGAAAGAATATTGCGGAATAAAAAAAAACCGGTAAACCACGAAAATTAACTACGGTAGGAAAGCGTAAAATCGCCCGAATTATTAAACAAAGACCAAATACCAGTGCATCTGAAATTGCATCACACCTTAAAGAATATATGCTGAAGGAAATTCGCCCTAAAACGGTATCGGAAAAGTAAAAGAAAAGTGATCGATATCGGGGCGGATATAACAGTAAAGTTGCGAGGAAGAAACCTCTCATAAGCAAAGTAAATTAAAGAAGAAATTAGAATTTGCAGAACAATGCATAAATGCTAGCGATGACTTCTGGAAAAACGTAGCACTTTCCGAAGAGTTGACATTTAATATTTTTGAGTCAGACAGTAGTAAAAAAGTATGGCGATAAGCTAATACTGAATTGAATTTCAAAAATATGCAACCGACAATGAAATACAGAGGTTGGAATGTGATTGTTGGAATTTCGGTTTTTGTTCGGTCCCCATTTACTCATTTTCCCAGTTAAAACTGGGAAGGATTAGATTCTTAATCCGTTGGAATCAAAAATAATTAAAGTAAACTTAAAGTATTATGTAACTCTTGCAAATTAGAGTCAACATTCAACTGACAAGTACATTCAAACACTTGTAGAACCTGGTTTTGGGAGAATATATCGAATTTTATTATATTATTTTTTTATTTAAATATTACCTTAATTAATTATAACCACAGTCCAAAAACCCACCTGACGGTGTATCTTAGCCGCTCCAGGTATTACCGTCAAAATCTAGTTACAAAACCTATTACACTAACATTTCCTCTGACACCCAGCATTAGTCATACGTCGACTAGTCTCCACGTCTTGACGCATTCAGCGTAGTCACATATCAACTAATCTTCAAGTCTAAAATCGTTTGGCATTCATGTCAATTAATAAATCTGACTTAGCCTAGTAACAAATACCGTAATTCACATACAGCCCCCAGCTATACAGCCGTACCCTTTCGGCTCGTAGCAAGCACATTGTAGGAATTTACATTACAATTTTGCTTCGAAATAAACAACACGCTCGAGACCAGTCAGTTACTTATATCGAATCAGATATGCTATTGTTCCTGAGCGTCACAAGACGGAACACGAAAAGGACGTGGGTTTCGGTGCAGCGGCAAACTATAAAGTAATCGAACAAACAGCGATTTTTTGGAAAAAGATATAACATAATATATTTTCTCATTTTAGTACTAGTCAAGAATTTTACGTTTTTCATAATACGCTAGAATCGCTGACATTAAAGTGAGAAAAAATTATAAATGTTTTATGCATTTTTCACTAAATTGTTCGATCAACTGTAAAAATTTATGGTTTCTTATTTTCACGGATCTCTCACTCCTCGAATTTCTCACTCAACGGGCGACTTCAAGCAAAAAAATAGGGATAGCAAATTGCTTATTTTGAATCACGAAACGGTTGACTGTAAAAGAAGTCTACGGTGTAATGACTCTACTTGCATTATACTACAGCATACAGTAAAGTCTCGACTATGGAAGCAAAGAAAATGATTGTCATTACTGAGGGATAAATTCCTCAAGATACCGGGAACTTCATTCACCGAGAAATGTAACGTGATTCGGGTTCGGATATATTTGTAAGACAATGTGAACACAAATATAAAGCTTTTCTATATTTGACTTTTTTGTTATCACACTATTAACAATAGATTTTTGAAATTTTTCTAATTAAAATGAGACCAAACATGATATAATTGAAACTATATTTACTGGTTTAGTTAGTGATAATGAGTTTCGAATATAAAGAATAGTGAGTGAAAAGGAAAGAAATATAGCGATCGTGGCAGTTGGCAAAGATTGAAAGTTTGTTATATTGATTTCAATACTAACGTGTTGTTAACTTTCTTATTTTTAGTCCTTTTTTTATGGAACTCTGCCCATCATATTCGTAACACTCTCCTGATTAAAAAGAGACCAAACGCGACGTAATTCGGAACATATTTACTTATAATAACTTATTGGTGTAAACTACTCGATATAAACGAAACACTTGGAACCGATTAATTTCTATAAATATTAAACGATTTATAAATTTAATGAACAAAATAAGGTTAAAAAACAAAAAATATTTTCCAGTAACACGACTATATAAATCTTCAAAAATGCTCAGTTTGTTGTTAAAACGTAATCTTCTAAGCTATCGGTCAATTTAAATAATTTTTTTGGCCAATCGACAAAGTAAAATACGTCATGATTTATAAAAGTAAAGTTAACAACTTATCAAAATTTAAGTATATTCGTACTTGCAAGAAAAAATTATTAACTATATTTAAAATAATACTGTGGCTAGAATATTAAAGATTACACTAGTTACAAGTATAAGTTTATATTTTAACTTATTTATATTTCTTATTAATTATGCTTAAAACAATATCACGTATTAATTAAACGGTATTTTTAATTTAATAATATAATATTTCGTACCGAGTTATTTTCTGTTGCTCGAATACACATCATTTTCTTCTGAATACGTACTCATATCATGTGAATTTAGTTTTGAGTATCACCTAAAAAAATAATTTTGAATTGCGCTTAGAGTAATATGATGCATTCATTAATATTTAGTAACGTAAATTAAAACTTGTCTTACCTAAAAACGATAATTTTAATCCTTCGAGATGTAATTGTGCCGAACGGGAGATCCGACTCTTATAACAATTCAAACGTATAAAAATATTCTCTAATTCTTCTCTTTCTTCTTGCTTGAGTAGAATCCCACATCCCGATATTCGTTCACCTTCATCACTTACTTCAGGCTTTTCTTCAACCCAATCTATGGCCCTTTCCTCATTCGTTCCTTCATCCGTTTCTTCATCCATTTCTGCCTCTTTTTCTCCGAGTATATGTTCATTTTTTCCTGTGTTCAACTCTTCAGCTTCTCTTAAAAATCTATTTTCCTCCTCCGTACATGCGGATAAATAGTCCTCGATATATTCTGCCGTTACATCGTATCCTGCAATCTGTGTGCAAATTTGTCGTATTTCTGTTATTACATCTTCTTCTTTTTCTTCTTTTATTTCCCCTCCTTCTTCTTCTTTTTCATTTTTAATTTGTAGTTGTATAATAATTTCCTTCCACATATTTTTTATATTATTGCGTGTCACTTCATTCCAAGCTTTACTAATTATTTCAATACAATCTTTAATTGTATACTTTTTATAAAACTCTTCAAGTCCATTTCCGTAATTAATAAGACACTGCATTACTTTATGTCGATAACATCTTTTCATTTTGTCAATTATTACTTGATTTATAGGTTGAATCAAAGACACGATATTTGGCGGTAAATATATCACTTGAAACTGATCATCATGTATATAGTTCGTTGGAAATTTATGACTTGACGAATTATCAATTAATAGTACAACTTTGCTGCATAATCCTTTTTCTAACTGGTATATTTGTACAGCTTTTTTAAAATAATTTTCAAACCAGTCAACGAATAAAATTTCATCTGGAGGTTGATTTGTGAAATTTCTTAAAGCTTTAGGTTGTTTGTATTTATTAATTACAAGAGGCATAATTTTATGCGTTCCTGTTGCGTTTGCGCACAGCCCTACAGCTACACTTTCTTTCCATATCTTGTGCTCACTGGCGCAATTTTCTATTTTACCTGCAAAAGTTCGAACAGGCAACGCCTTCCATAATAACAGACTTTCGTACATGTTATATACATTCCCTAAATTAATATTTTCTTGTTCAAAGAATTTTTTTAAATCATTCACGAATGTCTCTGCTCCATTTGTATCGGCACTGGGTTTCTCACTGTAAGAACGCACCAATCTAATCCTGTGGCGTCTTTTAAAATTTGCGAGCCACCCTCTACTTACTTTAAAATGTGAACACGCTCCAATTTGCTGTCTTAATTCGGCAGCTTTTTCTAAAAATAACGCATCTGTTACAACTTCGCTGACTGTTTTTCTTTCTACAAACCACGTAAGCAATTGTTGCTCCAGTTCTTCATATGTCGGTTTCCTTATCTTTTTACGCATTTTCTCATTCTTGTCTTTTTCTGCAAATTCGGTAATTGTCGCAGCTTTTTCTATTATTCGCCGAATCGTCATATGATGAACGTTATACTTTTTAGCGACACTTGAAATAGAGGATGTCTCTAAGTCTTTCAGAACATCCAGACGTTGTTCGAAAGTCAAAACATTTCTTTTACCATTTGCCATTATTATCACTTTAATACAGTAACTATTCGTTCACACTCACATTGGAACTTTGTACAGAATGTTAAATAATACAATTCATAGAAAAATATATAATATATAATTCAAAGATTGTCAGCTGACAGCTATTTCTGAATTAATTTATTTCACAATACTAATCTATCCATTATTTCTTGAACATTAGGAAGACTTGAAGGGTAGTATTTGGCCGTGAAAACGCTTGCCAAAGAACCTGTCAGTATTATCTAGAAAATAAAAAGACACTGATTGGTGACATGATTTAGTGAAACAGTGTTTAACAGATTAGTTCCTTTTGGGGATCCGCAATATACGCATCAATTAAGACCGAAGGCCGCTCTTTAAAATTATAGTTATACGATTCTAGACCCAGTCAATTTGAGCATTTATAACTGCAAGCAATGCATAAAAGCAGTGTTTTTATAAGGTATAAGTCTTGGAGTACGTACCAAATTTTTTGTCATTTATATTATTAACTGTATAAAAAATGCTTTAGCTAGCACAATATTTCTTCCTGGACAAAACATTTACAATTCTAATTTTAAGTAATAGACTACACTGTTCTCGAAAAAGTTTAATTCTTAAGTACACCCTGCCGACTGTGACTTGCTAATTTGCTATTATAATTCGAATGCAAAAAAGATAGGTCCATTATTACTAAGCCACTTGAGTTGATGATCCGTTAATGTCTTACAGTAATTGTCACTCTGATAAAAACGAATTTCCACTTCCCCCAAAAACAGTTACAAAAAGATCTCTTAAAAGATTTCATTATACCAATTTTAAAGACTTTGTCTAACAAGGAAAGGCACGCAAGTGTACCCCTCCGATTTTGATGAAACTTCGTAGGTTTGTTAAGCAGGCAAAAATAAGGGACACGTATTTTTTTTTATCGGCTGAGACGCGGGTTTAAAGGATGAAACGAGCCCTTAAAGTTTCGACCCCTTTTGGCTATCTCGAAAACCATACGAGATACATTAAAACTTCTAATAGAAAAGTTGTATGATTTCTTGCGTATAATAACAGGATGTTAACGAATTTTGCAAAATACAATTTGTTTATAACAAAAAAATTTTTCATAACCTTATTTTACAATTTATTCAAATTTGTATAATGACAAAAAGTGTAGAGAATTTTATTACAAATCCATTGGTATATATATATATACGATATTGCCTCCTACAATTCCTCAGATTTTTATTATAAACATTACGCATGCGCGCCCGCGACGCGCCGCACGATACTAAACCGGATCATATCGTACGATATTACACTACCAATCAACGTCATTTTTAAGCATAAATAAGAGATAATTCTATTTGCGCTATACATAACTGTTAATTTTATGAAATTTATATCACAAAACATTTATTGTTAAAGTACATAGGTATTCTATGTATATATCAATTTTATAGGTAACAAGTAGTTTGAATAAGTTAGGGAATACAATCGTGGCAATAATGGTATTCTTTGAAAAACTGTTTCAAACACAACGGTTTCCGACATTAAGTATATGTAATAATTACTACGTCACCGCATATGTATATGGCATAGTGTATTTGGAAAATGAGGTGGTCTTGACGATATGTATCCACTTTTATATCATGAAATGAAATTTTCAAATCGCAGTGAAAAAAACTGATTATGAACAAGTCTTTGTAGTTTTAGAATGCTATCTCGTGTGTGGAGATTAATGTGCGACGAAAAGCGACGAACAAAATTTTTCCACACGCGAAATTCGTACACGTATAATGGTTGTAAATATTTTGTAGTTCCAGTTAGAATCATAAATAACGTTATTTCTTTATTTATCGGAATAGCTTCGTCAACCTTACGACAACAAGGCACGCTCCAAGAATCTAATAATAGTGCTGTTTTGTTGTTTGTATTTGGAGAATAAACTTCTGTTAACTAGGTTTTAAAATTTTCTTTTGTAAGTTTTCCGAATGTCGATACCATAACAAAAATATTCATCGCCTTGAATATGGTCTGCTGTAATCGAGGTTCAAATACTCCATGGTATAAAGTAGATACATATCGTCATGACCTCATTTTCAAAATCCCGTATTTTGCATGCTATGCATCACATAATGAACCACTATGCCACATATGTAGCGACGAAGCAATTATTTCATATGCATGATGTATTGAAAACTATTTGAATCATTTCTTCGAGCAATACCACCATTGCCGTGATTATGTTCCCTCACTTATTCAAACTATTCATTACGTAATAAAATTAACATATAGAATACCTTTGTACTTTAACGATAAATGTTAATTATAACGCAAATGTAATTGTTTCTCATTTATGCTTATAAATAATGTTGACTGACAATGTAATATCGTCCGACTTCATCCGATTTAGAATAGTGTGGAGCGTCAGCGGGCGCGCGCGAGAACCTTTATGATAAAAATCTGAGGAATTATAGGAGGCAATATCGTATATATAGATACCAATGGATTTGTAATAAAATTCTCTACACTTTTTGTCATTATACAAATTTGAATAAATTGTAAAATAAGGTTATGAAAAATTTTTTTGTTATAAACAAATTGTATTTTGCAAAATTCGTTAACATCCTGTTATTATACGCAAGAAATCATACAACTTTTCTATTAGAAGTTTTAATGTATCTCGTATGGTTTTCGAGATAGCCAAAAGGGGTCGAAACTTTAAGGGCTCGTTTCATCCTTTAAACCCGCGTCTCAGCCGATAAAAAAAAATACGTGTCCCTTATTTTTGCCTGCTTAACAAACCTACGAAGTTTCATCAAAATCGGAGGGGTACACTTGCGTGCCTTTCCTTGTAAGAAGAAGTTTATTATCGTGCTAGCCAAAATATTTCTTATACAGTTAGATGAAAAAATTTTGTTTACACTTCGAGTCTTAGTCCCTATAATTAACCCGATTTATCTGCATCGCAATTATAAACTTCTGAATTGATTGTGTCAAGTGTTGCGTTTATAATACTATTTTAAATATGGTTAAGAATTTAGTTTTTTATTTTATTAAAATTCCAGATATGGTTAGGATGCAAGTTAACATAAATGAATTAAAATAGAATAACATTAATGCGACAATTATAGTGCTGTACTCTTAATAATCGAAGAACAGACCCGAAACGCTACTACAAATATTGCAGGTATGCGTTTTTATTCCAGGAATTGTTCGACTCATGTTTCATCGGCCCACTTGCCACCGGTTTGCTGCGTTGGGCACAAAAGGGGAAAGTGAGACACATTAAGAAGAAGATAGAATAAAATGATCTCTTAAAATAGATGTTTCATAGTAACATGAAATAAGAAATTGTGCTCATATATGCATTTGCAGATATACAAAATTTATATATCCTATTATACTAGCTATAAGAAACAGAACTTTTTTTTCTTTTACTTTATTAATATTTAACATTTGCAAAAAAAATAATGATTATCACGGAGTAATCTATAACAAGTATTGTATTATAATGTATATATATTTGCTTCTGTATTAATAATTTCTTTTATATTTCTATCTGAGTGTATTGATATTTTTATTATATCTTATATATTCATTTTCTTTTACACTGGTTCAATTTTTTTTGTTTGTATTTCGTCTTCTATCTATATTATACCTATATGATTTATCAGTTTTCTTACTATTTCTGGACATTTAAATGTGCGGTATAATATAAATGTATGAATTTTATATTCCGTTTATTTTTCAAGTTTTTAATTATTTATGTATTTTTTAAATAATAAGTAATTATTTAAATATATTTGTATTTAGTATTTAATTCTAATTGTAAAATAAAAAATTGTAATATAAAAATTACATTTTTTATTTCGATAAATCATAAATCTTATATATTATTTTAAATGCGAAGGAAAATAATATCGAGTTCGGAGCGTCGGGCGATCAGTTTGAAAAATTGATGACGACTCGCAACTATTAAATGAGCAAAATATACAACTGCTAAGTGTGTAGCGCTATACTTTAAATATAAAAATATCTGAATCTTTACAACTTCATAACTTTACTTTTAGAAATCACAGAGTCATGAAACTTGATCTAAAGTTTTCTTAAAAGAATTCAGATTCGACAAAAAAAGAATCATTGAAACTGACCAATATCTTGAAAGATTACCTTTCAACAATGAACAAATAGAGAGAACATTTTTGTTCAAATTTACTGAATCGTGTTACAAAAAAATATTTATTTCCGCTTAAATTATAAGTTTATAGTTACCCCTCTTACTTTAACTTATTACATTTATAAATCGATTAATATCTACAAAAGTTAATCGGTTCCAAGCGTTTCGCTTATGTCAAAGGCTTTATTCTAATAAGTTATCACAAGTAAATATGTTTCGAATTATGTCGTGTTTGGTCAAAAATATCTTGGGAAAAGTGTGTCTCACCGATATGTTACTATTTGTTCTCACTCGGTCGTTTGGTCGTTTCCTTTGCTTGTTCTCCTTTTCTACGTATGATAAACTTTAATCAATGTAGGAACTCCACGACATACGCGATAGTTCAGTCCCGAATGATTCGCTTATATCGTAGTTTTACTGCAATATTGTATTCGAGTCGTACGCATGAGTTTTGGATAGTAGCGAACATTACACCTATGTTTACAACAGGGTAGTACAACTTGAATAAGAAAGAAAGATATTAGTGAGCAGTTATCTTTCTCAGACTAAATTTTATAGCCTTTTTTCATTGCAGTTCAGATTCCGGACGGTTTAGGGCATAGGTAATTGTTTAGAGATTTGCATAGACATATTGTGCCCATATAATACGTTTATGGAGTTTACTTGAAAACAATTTTCACGGAGGGAAAACCATAGACATATGTATATGCTACGGGATAAATTATAAGATATCGTCATGAGAGCCATTTGGTATAAAATTCGTAAATTATATTGCTTTTACAGACCTCTTGAGAGACATATTACTACTATATCGAATCTTAACAGTTCTTTTAGTTGTAGTATTTTTTATCCCTGAGATAAATATATATTGATTCTCTAGAAATAGTGCTTGAGGTATTACAATATTCTTCACCTCTTGCCCAATAGAAACACTACCGCTCCCTACAGTTTCCCTCTGCAAATCAAATTCTGAACGAGTGTCATCTCTTGTTATACTTACTCCTTGCCTGTGCATTAAATGACCACATATGACTGTGGTTGTGGCTTGTTGACTGTCACACATACAGAATCATGGCTGAATTAAGATCTGCGATCTGGAGCCTTTCTTCTAATTTCGTTGCAAATCGATATTTTTCGCGTTTATTAACGTAAGTAAATATAAGATCAAATTTTGTAATTATTTTACTTTTAACTTTAGATTAAACTGTTTTAAGAAAATGTATATAAAATTTATTACAGATAAAAATATAACAGAGTTCAAATTTGTATTGTATTTAATGATTAATATGCTCCTCATATGCTTTCGAATATTTATAATTTTATGTTATCAAAAAATATCTATACAACATTTATTAACATGTGATTGTTGTAAAATAAAAAATTTTAATTTATAGTTCTCAGTGGTATAATGTATCTGCGGTTTCATCATTAAGTAACATGTCAACGGAGGCTGCAGTTAAAACTGACAATGACATCATTATTACAGATAGCTGTGTTAAACGTTTGAAAGAAATTACAGATGATAATGCTTATTTAAGAGTTACGGTAGAAGGTGGAGGTTGTTCTGGTTTTCAATATAAATTTGATTTAGATGTAAATGTAAATGAAGACGATAAGTAAGATAAATTAATAATAATAGTTTACAAGATAATGTCCTATTAAAAATGTAACTAAATACATTATGTTACAGAGTGTTTCAAAAGGATGGTGTGAAAGTGGTGATAGACTCAACATCTTTAGAATATATTAAAGGAGCAACGATAGAATATCACACAGAACTGATACGTTCTGCATTTAGAATAACAAATAATCCTTTAGCTGAACAAGGTTGTAGTTGTGGTGCTAGTTTTTCTATTAAAATTTAGTTAATTGATAAATTTCCTGTTTAGTAAAATTATATGTAATTTATCTGTATCATATTTACTATTTTCTCTTATAAAATAATCATAAATAGTTTATCAACATTTTTTTTGAAGAACTATATTTTTTACTTTATTTAATTAGGCTGTAGGGTTCTGTTAACTGGCACTTACTTATCTAGTCTTCATGAAAGTTTCCTCATACAGGGTGTCCACACTTAAGTGTGACAGCACGATATTGCATGAACTATTGATGACACGAAAAAGTGTTTAAATGGAAATTGCAGGATAAAAGGAGCTTTATGTTTTGGCGTAAACGAAATTTTTTTAATGTTATTAATGTAAAAGATAAGATGATGAAGTTTCGTGTTTTAAATGGAACTATATATGTTTCTTTCGATCACGCAATATTGCCTTTCAAAATGAATTCATTAAGACTTAATGTGTTTACCCTATTTTTATTAGTTTTCGAGATATAACACTTAGAAATGAAACTGATTTTCAGCAGAGATGTCTCGATTTGAGTAACAAGTCATAAAAACGGTCTTATTGTTGCGATAAGTGTCGCAAGTTTGACTCTGCCTGCAGAAACCGATAGCCGCTGGTCTACGGTCGGAAAAGCAAATCCAAACAGTAAGAAACGTGGAAAGAATTATCCATTACGGTCTGAACATTCCGCGTCAAGAATGATGTTAATAATTTCACTTCATAAAGGCGACCGAAGTTACGGGTAAATGTCTTAATTTTTAATAATTGTAAGTCCTTCAACACAAGTTATAAAACAAAACTCAGTAGATTTAAAAAACAGAATTCAGATTTTATGTGAAAACATTCCCATAGGCATTCTAATGAACGCGGAAAAGGAATTTCTGGAACGTATAGAAATATGTATTTCGAACCGCAGAAGACATATAGAATAAATTTTTTGTTTAACAAAATATTTTGAGAAATTTAAATTAATTGTCTGTATACTTACTTTTAAGTAAAACATTTATTTAAATGTTCCAACCTTCCAATTATTAACAACCTCATTCTTGATGCGCAAATCATAGACCGTAATGGACAATTCTTTTCACGTTTTTTACTTTCGGACTTGCTGTTCGAACCATAGATACCCGGCTATTGGTTTCGGTAGGCAGCGTCAAATTTACGACACATACCACAACAATAAGACTCAAATCGAGACGTCTCTGCTGAAAATCAGCAAATTTCTAAGCGTTATAACTCGAAAACTAATAAAAATCAGGTAAATACATTAAATTTTAATGAATTCGTTTGTAAAAGCGTTATCATGTGATCGAAAAAAATATATAGTTCGATTTAAAAAACGGAACTTCACCATCTTATCTGTTACATTAATAACATTAAAAAAATTTCGTTTACGCCAAAACATAAAGCTTTTATCCTGCAATTTCCATATAAACAATGAATACATATGGCAAGTACTATGAAACGTTAAGAAATTCTTTACATTAGTGTTCGCCAAAAAAGTTATTAAATCCTGAGTACCTTTTACTATTGAGTAGTACTTGCTGTGTATGTAACATATGCCTATGCTCATATGTAGACATACACTATGAATGTAATGTGGAGTATGAGCATAAGTCTTTACTGATGTATCTAATGCTTAAATAAGATACTTTAAAAGTTGAACATGAAATTTTTAATAACCATGTACCTCGATAAAACTTGAAGAACAAATTGTAAGAGTGTAAAACAATGAAAAATCTTATAATCTGTTTTACTATGAAGAATTTGCAGCTTTAATGCTAAACAACTGTTTCAAAATATTCTGTACAATAAATGAGTAATAATAAAAATGTTAATTTAATTTACAGAGAAACAAACTGTGTAATTATATTATAACAATGTGATTAAAATATCGTATATTTTATAAATTGACACAACATGTTATTTATAAGTGTTGAATGTTAATATTAATTTTTAATTTTATTTCATGTATTGAACAAATTTCAAAATTGTTTAACCATAATGATTAAAATTGCAATTATTATTTACTACATGCAACTTTCATATGTACATAAAATTAAGGATATTGATAGTTCTGATTAAAACATGTTGCTGTTGGAATGTGATTAGTCGTTAATTAACAATCTGATGTATATCACTTCTGTTTTCCTTTTTTACTATTCTGAAAATTATAAAAATAATTATAAAATGATTATTTGAAATATTAGCATTTCCAAGTAATATAAACATTTACCTTATTTACAAGTTGAAATTTTAATTGTTGTATTTCTTCTGTCTGTGCAACAAGTTTCTCATTCATAATAGCAAGATGTTCACTCATAGTATTAAGTTGAGCTTTGTAATTTCCTTCTTGCACTTCTTTATCTTTTTGTAAAATATTATAATTTGAAAGTGCCTCTGCAAGTGCAGATTCACACTTTTCTCGATTTGATTCACTTGTGTCTAAATGGACTTGCATAACTTCACTCTAAAAAATTTTTGTTAAATAAAGTATGTAATAAAAAATTAATAAAATTATTTTTAACATGTTGACTTTTGCTCAATATCTTGATTTAAATTAATTGAATGATATAAACAAAAAAAGAAAAAGAAGATATAAGACAAAATTAATATTATACTAGTAACACTATCCAATATCCAATTTATAGTCCAGTTTTGTAACCTTCAATAGAAAATTCTTAAAAGTGTTTTCTTATATAAAAGTTTTTTGCTAGCTTTCTGCATGGTTTAATTCTATAAATTATCTCGAATAAAATTCTTCCTATATTGCATTTAAATGTATTTAAATAATAATTAAAGTGAAATGGACACACAAAACATGCAAATTTTTGCTATTATCAAATTTATTAAAAAAAGGAAAAATTGTAACAGATGATAGAGTAAGCAATTAAGAAAACAATTAAAAGAAAATTACAAAAACGTGCAGAAACAAAACAATTTGGTAAAGCTTGTAACGGTAGCGTAGGTATTTTGCAGATTTTGTTTGGTGTAACGGAATTTAGTATTATTACCGTTATCACACGTTTTCCAAAAGTCTCCCTTCACAAAAAATAAAGCATGATTTCATAATTTTCTTTCATACTTGTCTTAGCAGGAATATTTGCTCTATCATGTGTTATGATTAGATTCTTTTTAAAATCTTTAGTTCTTAAAATAAATTGAAAAATATAAACAAACATTGGTACATTTGAATGTCCTTTTCATTGTAATCATTGTGAATAGTTTGTATTATTTTTACTTGTAAGAGTACAAAAAGAAACCGAAAGAAATTGAATAATTACCATGAAAAAAATACAAAAAACTTCTGAAGTTAAAAATTTGCAGTTCTTTTCAGAACTGATTTTGATGTTTCTTAAAAAGAACTGTAAGTACTACAAAAAATGATTAAAAAATTCGTATTCAGCTTTTTTAAAACTATAAAAAGTAAGTAATGTGGTGGCAATTCTTATAACAATTTTGCATTAATTTTAATTTTAGAAGTCAATTTGTTAAAAATAATGAATAAAGAGTACAGTTTTTATGCTATAATATAAAATAAGTTGAATTACGTTAGCAGCCATAGCTAAATTTTTCACGTGATAAATATGTTTTTCTGTAATTAATTTGTCCATTTCTTGCAGAAAATAATCTCGGATTTTTGCTTCACGAGCTTCAATTTCCTCTGGTATTGCAAAAGGTACAATTAGCTTTCCAATCTGTTATGAATACTTATTAATTAGAGTATTTATAATAAATTTATATAAAATAATTAAAATGAATATTACCATATGATTTATTTCTACAGGTTGCAAAGGTTCGTTCTCAATTTGTAAATGTTTTAAGCATTCTCTTTGTTCTACTTCATCATATTTTATTTTAAGTATGTGATATTGTGATTTCCAATAATTCATTTCCTTTTCTAAATCATAAGATTTTGAACTGTCACATTCATTATTGTCTTCCTGTACTTTAGGAGGATGACCTTCACCAATAGATTTTGATAAACGACGTGATGCTAATGGCGATGAAAATGGAGACAGTTCCAGTTGAGACTGACTAGAATGTCCTATTCTAGACTCAAATTCATAACCATCTCGTTTGCCTTCATTACTAGACCACGATACAGTTTCTTCTTGTCTCTGTTTATCGTTTAATTTTTTTAGCAATTCGTTTCTTTCCCTTTCTAATTTATCTGTGGTATTCTGATATTGGCATTCTAATTCAATTTTAGATTTTTCACATTGATCTAATTTATATTCTAATTGTTGTATTCTTTCATTCAGAGTTTCAATTTCACTATCTTTGTCATTGATTTGAGATAATAGTTGAGCATTTTCAACTATTTTCTTTTGAAATTCTTCATTTAGGATGTGGTTTGGTGGTGGTGGTGATAATTGACTATTACTTTCAGATAATTTATTCTTTCCCTTTTTAGATTTGTTTTGTAATTTATCCAATTCTTCTTGTAATACAGTTATACGTTTGGTCAATTGATGATTTCTAAATGATAAACTGTCTAATTCTTGCTCTGCTCTTCGAAGTTCCACCTCCTTTTCTTTTAATTGTTCTCGGATATCTGCACTGCGTGCTTGTTCATCAATCACAGCCTTTTTTAAAACATTTGCTTGGGCTCGAATCTAAAAAGAAAGAATGTTTGATAGTACATTTATCACAAATAAAATTTTCTATACTAGTAGTACGTATTATTAAGAAATCAAATATTTTATTGTACAAATATTTACAAAATTTTGATCGTGCATAATATGTAACATATTTCTTACTTTTGAATATTCTGTGGCAATTTTTTGATATCTGGTTTGCAACTGCCCATTAATACTCTCCATAATGTTATCCACTGTAGATTCTGCTATTTCTAGCTTTGTAATTTTTTATGATATTTATTAAAAATTGTTCATTATTATAAAATCCACTATAACATAATGTTTCGGGACAAAAATTGGACACATACTAGCACTTTCAACGTAAATGTCAACGACAGCAATGAACTTCTTAAAATATATGACAAATGATCATATTAAAATGAACAACAAATCATATATTTATAAACCCTAAATCACCAATAGAATCTCGTAAATGAAGAATATAATACATGAAACACGCCCCCAATATAATACACTTTAACATAAAATTTGATATTTAATGACTGCATAATAATCATCAATTGTCGAGATACCTTAATGATGAGAAGTTAGTTGTTAGTCAAGAGAAGTTTATCTTCGTTGGTAAATTATCAACTGAAATTTCAAATATTACCAATACGATACTACCTCAACCATAAATACAATAATAGACTGAGTGTCTCGTACGAGAAGTTGAAATTAAATCTAAAAAACAGAAATATACATATAGTTAGGTATAATTTCTCTCTTATGTATCACACAAAGAAGGAATAATTGAAGAATGAAAAAGTTCTTATTAATAATGGTTTGAAGGCACTGACACTTTCATTTCAGTTTTCTATCCTGCCTCCACCAAGTGCAATTTTGCAAAAAGATACCTTACCTATTTGTATTGCATTTTCTTTCTAGATTTGGCGTCAACGCCTATAATACAGGATGTTAAAAAGTAATTGCATTTATTTAATATTATGTGACAGAGAACAACAATCTAAGCAAATTAGTCCAATAACATTTTTGGATGTGAAACATGGTTTCATCCTAATTCCTGAAAATTAATGCATTAGCTAATCAATGCATAGTTGCATGACCAGTTCGGAATCACATGAACTTGGCTTTACTGCTAATACTGCATGAAGTTAGTCCAGTTCTTCCCACTTATTTCAGAGAAGTCACCAGAGAATTAACTTTGCTCTTTAGCTTGCTTTCTTTCTAGGTATGGGAATCAATTGTATCTTTGCATATATGCATCAGATGTCATACTGGAACGTAACGGCGAAATTTGTTCATTTATTCATTTGATCCACTTAATTCTTAAACTCAAGCTATTAACGCAAAGTTATGACCGATGACGTGCCATATCAATCTATACTTCACATCGTTTGATACCTGTTGACTTTGTTATGTCTATTTGCGTATTTCCAAGGATTTGGTTTTTACGACTTTGTTCGTCAAAATGTGTATGGAAATTAAAAAAGTACATTTTCTTCGTCCACCATGTATTTTACGTATTTATTATTTTAAAAATCTCGAATATGATATAATGGTTCTACCCGCAGAAAAAGTCGGCTCTTTCAGTTTCGCCTCAATCTGTTTCTTTTGAATCCATGAATCCCTCCCCAGATTGCTCTGTATCCGATGTCTTTCTTTATTAATGTTAACCCACTCTTAATTGCAACAAAACCAAATCATGGCAAGCTGTCACGCTCGAATCTATTGTTAGCGCTATGAGCGTGCGCTTTTCGCACGTTCTTGTTTGGTGGTTTCCCTTAATAATTTAAAAACAAAACCTCAGTCAACATTTTCTCAAAGGGAAAAATTGTTCAGAATCATTCCAGCTACAATTCCTTTCCGGTTCTCATACTAGTTCTGTAACACTATGTATAATAACAATTTGTTTTGTCAAAGATAAATCAAATAACGAATATAACAAATAAAAATAATGTCCAATTATTCATTGCTCATGAAAAAAGGATGAACTAAGTATTTTTTATTCATGTAAATCGAATGAAATCGTATTTGTTCAATATCTATATTTGTTATTCAAAAGAAATAAGGAATAAAATATTACAAATTCTTCTCCCTTGCCATAAAAGTGCAAAATAACAAACGTATTTTAAAAGGAAAATAACTTTTTTATTGATAAAAAGAGATTTTAGATTTAATAATTAATAAAATGTATAAACTGCTACTTACTTTAAATTTAAAAAAGTTCAAATGAGATTCATATGTTGTTTAAGAACATAAACCTGCTTCGGTGAAAATGGGCCTTTGCGGGGAAATAAATACGCACCGTAGAACATGTATGTGCAGCGCATATGATGGTTGGGTTACCGAATTTATTTTACTTCACTGTCATTTTGTGCTGATTATATAACCTAAAGATGATCAGTGAATGAACCGAATGAAAAAGTGTAAATGATATTCATGGATATGTTTAGCAATTCTTTCTAAGTTCATGTTAGCACGAAGGATGCAATACCGCGCATGTAGAGGTGGATGATCAGTGATTAGTCAATGAATGTTCCTAAAAGACAATAATAATGTATTGACAGTTTGATAGTTTCAGCTTTCATATATTTCCTTCTTCGATAACATATATTTTAGTACTGTCAATAATTATTTATGTATTAATTTTGATTTTTTATAACACATTTTAAGAATCTTGATCTTGATAATATTTTATAACTCAAGAAAAAAAATATAATAAATCATAATAAAATTCATGAAATGATAACTGATAATGTCTTTCATACCTATTTTCAAAAAAAGAACGTCGAAAACCTTTTATAAATAATTTGTAAGCACTTTAAATAATCATATAAATTTTTTATGCTACATAACAATGTGTGTTTTAATTATATTTTTGTTGTTCAAATTTATTTTAAATCTTAATTTTACTTGCATTTTTGGCGAAACTTTATTTTAGGACACAAAATTATTAACTTTGTTTTTGCTATTCAATAGTTTTCGATGCAGAGAATGCAAAAATGCAAGTTTTAATGTTAGGAATCTAACGGTTAAAAAATTATACGTATGTCCATTTGAGCATTTTTGGCATATTTGATTGGCTACTAAAACGTCACTAAGTAAATCAGAGGCGACACTATGACTAAGTTTCCACCGAGAGTTCAAATTGGGTTGGAGTCGGGTTAGAGTCGGGTTGAGGTAAGCGCTCTTATGGTGGAAACACCAAAATTGAAGTTGAACTCTACTTACCCTATAAAATTGTAGGGTAGCGTTCGAACCCCCCAAGCGCCCTCTCGTAAGAGAAAATAAAGAACAGAACAGGGTAGCGTTCAATTGAGGTTCAGTGGAAACATTGGCTACTAAAACGTCACTAAGTAAATCAGAGGCGACACTATGACTAAGTTTCCACCGAGAGTTCAAATTGGGTTGGAGTCGGGTTAGAGTCGGGTTGAGGTAAGCGCTCTTATGGTGGAAACACCAAAATTGAAGTTGAACTCTACTTACCCTATAAAATTGTAGGGTAGCGTTCGAACCCCCCAAGCGCCCTCTCGTAAGAGAAAATAAAGAACAGAACAGGGTAGCGTTCAATTGAGGTTCAGTGGAAACAACAAAAGTCGAGTTCATGTTGCCAATATAGCAAATCCTAATTGCATTGTGTATCACGTGTTGTATTAATTGGTGTAGACAAGGTTATTATTACTTTTTGTCGGTGCTCTTGTAATCTGAGAAATAATTTTTGTATGTTATTTTGATATTGTAAAATTAATATTGCTCCGATCCATTTTAATAATATAACCTTTACATACCAGAATATGGTAGCTGACTTTGTGCAGTTGGTAATGTTCAACCCTGCCGCAACTCCAACATAACTTTGATCTGATGGAAACAGGCAAGGCAACTGAACTCTAACCCGACTCTAACCCGATTTGAACCCTCGGTGGAAACTTAGTCCGTGTCGGTACCTTTGATCTCTCAAAAACGCTGTCTCTTTAAATTGGTTGTATAAACGAGCGGGAAATTTAAATCGAACAATACTACTTTCATATCAATCTCTAATAATGTGGAATATATTTGTAACAAATTTTCTATATATTACTAATATTGTCTTTTGAGGTATTTTTATCAATTTCGCGACGTTGAAAAGTTGACAAAGAAAAGAATATATCAAAACGATTGCTCTACAAAATATATTTGAAGAATATGTATTACGGAAATGATTATTACAAATAAAATTACTGGTAAATATGCAGGTTTAAACTATTCTTTTTAACCGACTTCACCGAAACTTACATATATATATCGCCGAATATCCCTACTTCTAACTAATCCTAAACCGCGAGGTGGATGAACTTTCGCTCTTATTCTATCCAATCCTAATGTCGCACTCTTCTTGCGCCACTCGTCATGCACCTCGAACTCCTGTTAACCTTTTGGGTGGCAACTGTTTCGCACACCGCATAGGATGCTTACGTTTACGGTCGTTCACCCAAAAGGTGTTTAGGCTTTTTCGGAGACTTTAGCCGCTCCGGCTCGAAGCAAGAACTCTTGCTGTTTTTTGCCGTTGCGATCTCGTCTCCTACATTGTTATTAACTTTTGAAATCAACTTCGAACGATTTTAATGTCCTTTTAATATGTTGTCAGGGGCATGGTTCTGAACAATTTTGATCATATACAAATTTCGCGGAAAGCGTTAGTTTTCGAGATATTAGCGAAAAATTGTTGAAAAGTTTTGAAATCAACTTTGGACGATTTTAATGTTCTTTTAATATGTTATCAGGGGCACGATTCTGAAAAACTTTTTCCTTATCCGCAATTAAGGGGAAGCTTTAGTTTTCGAGTTATTAGCGAAAAACTATTGTTACTAATATATTGAATTCTACGTACATATGCCTCCGTGTCTCTGGTGGTGTATGAGTCAACATGCAGTCGCCGATTTTCTACTGTTTCTACATACACGTCTTGTCGGCCGAAAATCAGTATACATGTATAATAACTATTGTTATTGCAAAATCCTATTCTTTGGTATTGTTATGTAAGAAATATCTCACAGTATCCTATACAATACTCCCCATTCCACTAAAAAGCGTGAAAATACGCCGACTTCGAAATGCACTAAAAAGTATAAAATAATTTCTATTTGCTAATGAAGTAATGTCTATTTCATTCAATCATACAATTACGTAACAGATATGAATGAAACCTATTTACTCGTTAGGTAGTATATTAAATACATTTCAACCTTTTCGGAGGCGGCGCAAAATTAAA